TGTCCGAACATCTGGCACATCATCCTTTCTTTTAGCATATCACTCGATCTATCAACATGTTGACTTTCTCACAACATTCAATCTTTTAGCGTAATACCTGATCCTTTTGTCATGATTCCCGAACTTATGGCACGAAATCCAATCTTCGGCACGTCGACCAATCCTCTAGCTTGATATCTAATTTCTAACATAATATTTTCCTCAGCACAATATCTTATTCTCCTACATCGTTAATTTTCTCTTGATGGTTTCAGTCGAGGTATTTTCTATATCACTTATTTAAAAAGCATATTAGTCCATAAACTCATCAATTGATTTTATCATCAAAATCTAATATTCAACATTATTTTTCTCTTATCTATAGGAAGACCTCAATCCAAGACATTTTAAGGGGGGTAAGGTCAGTCCTAAGTCGTGATGGCCTAGGCTAATTCTATGCATGGCGCGAGGGTTGCTTGAACTTTCTACACTTATGGGCCTCCTCCCATCTCCTCGTTACCATCGCTTCTACCACTATGTACTATTTGGCCCTCTATAATATCTTAGGTATTATGGTCGATTGCCTCTCTGTTAGCCACTATAATAGTCTCGAGTATTGAAACCTCATCATAAATATCTAAATTAGGAGTGAGGGGTGTGCATTTGCAACCTCTCTAGCTATATTAGTAAATCTAGAGACAAACTCAGCTAGTGGTTCACCCTCCACCTTATGGATGCTAAGGAGGGTGGTTGTTGAGCACCGAGAGCACGTTCCCCACAAAGTACTCTTCAAACTCTCTTGTGAGTTAGGTAAAAGAGTTAATCCAGAGAGGCCTTAGCTTGGCGTATCAATCTCAAGCAACATCCCTCAAGGTTATAGGGAACATTCAACACATCAACGCATTAGATGTGCCATAGAGTGCCATCTCGGTGCGGAAGATGACCACGTGCTCCATTTGGTTGGTGACTTTGTCAAATGCTTTCAAGGTGGGGTGTTGGAAACCTAAAAGGATAAGCTTCTCCTGTATGTGTCGGGCAACGGGGATTCGATCAAGGTAAAGCTAGTCAAACTCCCCGTCTTCACCATGTGGAACTCATAGCACATTCTTCTAAGCATTGGTCCATTTATCAGTGCTATGCCCGAAGGGTATACTCTGAGTCTACCAATTGGGCTTCTAACTTGGGGACTAACGACTATGGGCAATGTAGCCCACTGAATTTAATTTTTAGTGACCTCAGGACTCCATCAGCCAAGGCATCCATAGGTCTGGGTGGCTTGGCAATTGCTTGTGTTAGAGTCAATTGGTGAGACTTGGTGAGGGTCAGTGGTGCTACCAATGGTTGAGGAACTACGAGTGCCAATTGGCCTAACCATGAGAGTAGGGGCACAATGGACTACATCATCCCTATTAGTGTTTGAACCTATTGGGCAAGGTTCATGAAGATCTCAATCAATCCCAGCATGTAGGTTGATGTCACCGCTAGAGAAGAGAGATCGAAGTCATTGAATAGGCATTAGTATTGTATAGGCGTTCGAGCAAATGTGGCGGTGTCGAGAGATGAGAAAATCAATTGTTAACCCCCTTAAGTGAAATTGTTGTCGGTCGACGGTGGCGTACTCTCACTTCCCTCACTTCAGCATTGAGCAGGTTGGTATTGTGGTAATCTTATAATATGGGATCCTCGTTCTAGTTTCAAAATGATGAGGTTGATTATTGGTAATGCCTTTGTCAGCTCAACTCAATCCTGAGCCACATATACATGAGTCCAAGAAGGTGGCTTAATCGTTGTTCTGGTGTCCCCCCAACTGACTTACGAAAAGACCAAACTCAGGTAGGGTGCCTGATTGGATCCCTCTTATGCTCAAGTTAGGGCTAAAGTGAAAAAATGCTCATCGATAAATAGTAACTCACCTCCGTAATAGTGAATAGGTGGGCTTTTATAGTTGATCAAACTCAAAAAAAAATCTACGGTAAGGACCGAATATTCCTTCTTGGATCACCTCAATCGTTAGACCTAAGTGGTTGCCACCTCATTTGGGTCCTATCATATGATGAGCCACGATTAGAGGGTGGATTTCTCCCCTATCACTTGTGTTATATCGTAATGTACTTTTCCAAATCCGGAGATCAAACGATCAATTTTTTTTTCAATTTATTGAATATGAAAAAAAATTCCCATGCATTGTTTTAAACATGTGATGGTTCATTAGCATAGAAACTTTAGGATTTCTAACAACCAATAACAAATTGGAGATGATCTTTTGTATTATAGTTCATGGGTTTGGGCCAAAAGTGATTTGGGCTAACTTATTTGGCGCAAGCAATGGTGGTACATCCCATCCAACCCTATGATCAAATCAATTCTCATCTTATCAATTTGACCCGGGTTCAAATAAGAGTTAAATTTTGATGAAGGCTAGAATTATGCTTATTTTAACCATAAATATCTCATTATTTCTTTTTCTGAATCGTTATGAGGAACGAGATTGATGATGAAAAGAGGAGTAGATAATCGACATATTGCCAAGAAAAAGATAGATAGGGATCTATTGACTTTGCTCTTCTTATGCTTAGTTTCAAATTATTTTATAGCCATACCATAATCTTAGATTAACATATTGTTGACTCCATATTTTTATGATAAATAACTTTATTAATTATTATAATAATATCATCCTTTTTATTTATTCAATTTACACATCTTATGTTGACCAAAATCACTTATCAAACATTAAAGGATTCGAAGCCTTATCTAAAATATTCTAGAGGTGTCAACTAGATTAGTTAGTAAAGATTTTAACAGCTTATTATAAAGTCTTAGATTCAAATTTTGTCTTTGCTATTTATTCTTTATAACAAAAAATCTCAATAATGACATCCATTTTTTTTTGTTGAACATGCATAGTATTGGTTGGAATGATGGTGGCATGGTCAATACCTTGGATATTTAAGATTTTTGACTATTTTCTCATCTTTTATTTGTACTTAAATAAAATAACTTAGATATTTTCTCATATTTTAGGATCGAGGCAAAAAAGTTCTAGAGCTTGTAACAAATTCTCGGAAGTAAAAATGTGGTCTGAACTTAACTACAAATGCTGAGAGCAGGATCAAAATATTTATGGCAATAAACCTACTAGTAATTACAATGTTGTGAGGTTCGACAGATGAAAAATGATCATATTATAATTAAGGAAATGAGTTTTCTCAACAAGAAAGGGAAAAAGAATAAGAAATATCACCCTATTGCTTTGTTTGGCAAGGATTTAAAACATCTAGAAACTTCGAATTTTTATTTATTTAAAAAAGAATGAGTATTTTTTGTAATTGACAAAAAGATTTATGAACCAAATCAATTTAAATAGGATAGATCTTGTGATAGAGTATAACCTAGTTTAATTTTGAGTGTAATTAGATAATTTCCACTAAACTAACCCGAATTTTCATAAAATCACTAGAACATGATTCTTAGATGATTAATATTTTTTACTTTTTGATAATTTATGATAATTAATTTTAAAATTTTAAAATCGTACCACGATCGAGTGTAACTTTATCAACTTCTACTAAACTAATTCAAACTTCAATAGAACTACTTGAATATGGTTCTAAGATTATTAATAATATTTTTATTTTTAAAAAATTTTGACAAATAATTATTGAAATTAATGATTTTTAATTTTTTTTGATCGAATATGACTGAGTTCAATTTTGAGTTTAATTGGATCGATTTTCATTACATCAACTCAAAATTTTCATCAAACTACTTGCCAAGACTCTAAAATGATTAGTATCTTTTTTTATTTTATAAGATTTTATGATAATTAATTTTTAAAATTAATTTTTTTAATAATTTATATGATCGAGTGTAACTTAGTTCAATTTTGAGTATAACTTGATCAAATTTTAAGTACTATTTTTTTATTTTTAAATATTTTATAATAATTAATTATCAAAATTAAAAAAAAAATTAAACATATTATGTGATCACATGTAACTTAGTTCAATTTCGAGTTTAACTTAGTAAACTTTCACTAAATCAACTTAAAATTTTATAGAATCACTACGACATGATTCAAAGATAATCAGTATCATTTTTTTTAATTTATGATAATTATTATCAAAATTAAAAAAAATTTTAATAACATATGTGAGTTTAATAAAAGTCTTGGCAATCTCGTTGCTATTGGTAAACCCTAAAAAAATTATATATTTTACTATTTACAATCTCTTTTACTAATCTTACCCTTTTATTTTTTTTCACAACTCTAACAATTAGTAATTACTAATTTTTTTTACAATCCCTAAGAAAAAAAATATAACTTGCTATGATTGTCGCTCACTATCGATCGTTGGCCCTTTTGACATCTCAATGATGAGAAAAAAGCATAAGAAGAAGAAGAGGAAGAGAAAAAATAATATTTATATCCATTTATAGAGGGATATTTTAGAAATATTAAAAAATTTAAAAATAAAAATTATAAATAATTAAAAAAAGTTTACGAATAGATATTTTTTAATTAATATTATAACTAATAGACATTTAAATTAAAATTAATAGAAAAAAGTTTACGAATAGATATTATAAATAATAGATATTTAAATTAATATTTGTTTAACTATCGTAAGAGAGGTTGACTCATTCCCTAAAAAAACAAAAATGAGATTTTTTTCCAATAAAATACCTAATTACCATTCTCATCATCCATTTATCTGAATTAGACCTCTTTAATCCGATTAAACTCACACTTTTTAACTGTGGAAGGTTGTACGGGCGGTTGACTTATGCACGGAGACAATAGATAGCAGGACATGGCTTTTGCGTCACCAAATCCCTCTAGAGATGCGAGTCATATTTTTGCGTTCACTTGAGATACAGTCATCAGCTTGGCGCGGGTCAAACGCACGCTTGTGTCGGAAACGGCAAAAGATTCTTTTATCTGGATTCGACAAAATGCAGACTTGAGACGCCGAAATCCTATCCTCTCGGGTGGCCACCGGATATGCCCAGGTCAGCAGGAGCAACGCCTGGTGCTCATCGCGCAAATTTCACCACACGGCGGGGACATCTATTAAGTGAGCTGAGACCTCAAATGGAAGTCAGAAGAGGAGAGCACAGAAAGCAGAGATGAGGGAAGGGAACTGGGCCTGCTTGCTGATCCTGTTGCTGCTGCTATGTTTGGAGGAAGTGCTGGGTGTAGGGCAGCTCATGGGGTCCAGCTTCAGCCGGGATGCCTTCCCGCCAGATTTCATCTTTGGTGCTGGAACTTCGGCTTATCAGGTGAAGTTTCCTTGAGAGATGCTCTTCGGCAACCACTTCATTCATGGCCATGTATTGAAGATGTGTTCAATTAAATGTTACGTTTGCTATCGATTCATCCTGTTCAGATGATTGAAAGAGATACAATCTATCGAGAGAGAAAGTGGTAGAAATGTTACCATTGCGTTATTTTATGTGGTTGTGTATGTGTAAGGTGGAGGGGGCAGCAGCTGAGGATGGGAGGAGTCCAAGTCTTTGGGATACCTTCACTCACACAGGTGAACTACCCTCTCCATTTCCCATTCTGTCTTCTCACTTTTCATGTACCGGTGTTCTGAGGCTCGGCAGAATCGACACAACTCGTTAGGTTTTCAAGTCGACTTGGCAGCAAACACAGTGCATTTGGTACTCATATTTAAATTAACTTGGTCTAACACGACGAGAAACTCGCTCCTCTGTCCCCTTCAATAGGTACTTCCGTCGAGTGCTTCACGAGCATGGAAACTGATACAATTAACTCACAAAGTTCAGGGACTTTGGTGCACTATCTGGGAAGCATCTGGCTAAATGCTTTGTTTTTATGAGAGCCCCATTGGTATCTCTCATACCTGTTGATTGGTTTTGCAAGAGCCCTGTGATGATCAGATGATTCTGCGCTCGACCTTATTTGGTCTAGTTTTTCTATAACTTCAATTGCAATTGTAAGGTGTTGAATGGCTGAGTACCTCGTTAGAGATTTTTGTTTTATGAAACTGCCTCCTGAATTAATCCAATCCAATCGTGATTGAAGAAATTTATGTTAAACAGAACCTTTAGTGTTATATTCATGAACATAAACAGAGTCACTCTGGTGATTGTCTTTTTTCTTTTTTTTTGACTGATTTTTAACAATCAGTTAGATAGAACTACCAAAGTTGATCATTTCTTGATTGTTATGTATATATGGTTCTAAATGTGATAGTTGTTTCAGGGCAAATGATAGACAAGAGCACAGGAGATGTGGCTTGCGATGGGTATCACAAATACAAGGTATATTACATAATGCCTTTATCTGTATTGGTGCCACCTTAATGCTATCTGCAATGACATACGAACATTCTATTGATCACCAGAACTTTGAGCAAACTCATTCCCTCAGTGAAGTATATTTATGCAGAGTATAGCTGATAATGTGAATATGAATCAACTTTTCTATACTAACAAAAAAATTTCAGGAAGATGTCAAGCTGATGGCTGATACAGGATTGGATTCCTACAGATTCTCCATCTCTTGGTCAAGGCTTATTCCAAGTATGAATATTGCAAGTTTCAGATTCTATCATATGAAAATAAATTGTTCTTGTTTATGTTAACGTGTTCTAATCAGTGCAAAATATATTTGCTTTCTAGATGGAAGGGGAGCTGTTAATCTAAAGGGCTTGCAGTTTTACAACAACTTCATCAATGAGCTTGTAAAATATGGTCAGTTTGTTCCCTAACTGGACTTCCAGTTGTGTGATGCAATTGTTATCATCTTGTAATCTGGATGAGACCTCCAGATAAATGGTAAATTATCAGTATGCCAAATAAATGGATTGCATTGATTACGCTTCTGCATTTGAAGACTTTGTTTACTTTATGAGAAGCTGCTCTGACGAATGAGACTAGAACTATAAACTTAATCAATTAACTATTGCCATACTTGTAGGTTCAGTCTCCTAAATCATGATCGATCCTTATTTTTTGAGACAATGACTCCCTGACTCTGATTTTGATGAATATCTCCTACAAGGATAGCTTATTTTGTTATAGTTAGTGAGAAAAAAAATAATTAGATAGCAAATAGGATAACATATAGTTTCTATAGTTATAGAGATGTATGTACGTGCACCATGACTGCTAGTATTTGTTCTGTAATTATACAAATATGTATGGTAGCGAGAAGAGATTGAGCCAAACAAAACGTAAGGCATCCTAAATAATTTCTCAAAGGAAGACACCATAAGCAATAGAAGAGGAATGCTTTTGAATTACTATTCATTCTGGATTTACATTTGAAATTTTGGTTTATGGAGTCAGCATTCAATTCTTATTCTTTTCTAATTTCCTTTTCTTTCACAATACAGGAATCGAGCCACATGTTACGCTATACCATCTTGATCTTCCCCAAGTACTTGAGGATGAGTATGTAGGATGGCTGAGCCCCAAAATTGTGTATGATGTCCTTGACAGCTGTATCTATTACCAGTAAATTTTATCCATTTTATAGTTTATGAAAATAATCCCAGTTAACCTGTAAATATGTGACTCAGGGATGATTTCACGGCATATGCAAATGTTTGCTTTACGGAATTTGGTGAAAGAATTCCTAGGTGGACCACAATTGTGGAACCTAACGTGATAGGCATGGCTTCTTATGACAGTGCTATATTTCCACCAGCCAGGTGCTCTAATCCATTTGGTGTCATCAATTGTACTGTTGGCAATTCGACAATAGAGCCATATATTGCAGTGCACAACCTCCTATTGGCTCATGCTTCGGTCGTCAAACTATACAGGACAAAATATCAAGTTAGTCATCTACAATTTTCTCTCTTTCCATCTTCTCATGTTACAGTTGTGTAATATTTCTTAGAAGTAACTATCATCTGTTAAACCATTATACCAGATTATGTTATCATTAACTAAAAAATCAAACTTTGCCATCTGATGGCTACTTTTGAAAGGACTACATTTAGATTTTGCAAAACATTAGTAAAAGCTTATTCTAGATCAGTGAACAAGCAGTGTCCTGATAAGTATTAGTTTAGTGTTTCTACAAGATTATCTGCACTATTACCAGCCAGGTTCAGAACTATTAGTACCCTTTTTCAGCAAAGGCTAAATCTATATATTTCTTGTAATTGGAATGTCAACCTGTCATAAGTTCTTACTACCATGATCTTAGTTGTTATCATAAGTTTATTTATTGAAAGTTCAACCCTAATAATGTCTGCTCCCCTTCCAAATTTATGTTAAACATTTGTTCTTATTTTCACCATTATTCTTTCACTTCATATCAATTGTGTGAAATTTTTCGAGCATTTTAGCACTATGAAGAACGAATTTGGTCACCATGTTTCAGTGTTTTTTCATTGCCTGAATCTTGAAGGTTGTTGATTGAAAGCAGACTATCTAATTCCAAAATCTTTGTTAATATCCATCCTGATTACAATCAGAAATGTTTCTCTATAAGTAACTGGATATTTAGAGCAAAGATTTAAATTTCAGTCTGATACATCACCAATATAGACCCTTACCAACATGCTAATTGCCTTTATTCCCTTTTGATTTGTTGCTACATCATTTAGTTGATTATTAATCAGTCATGCATAGATGGTTTCCATTTAGTTGATCTTTTTGTCTTGAATGTTCATTGTTGTCATAGTTCAAAGTTTTTGGTCAATGAGAAGCATGGCTTATCTACTTCATGTTGGAAGTAGTGTTTATTCCTATCATATGAAGCATGGACTATGTTGTGCCTGTTTTTTGTATCTGTATTGGATACCCATACTTACTGAACACTCCTTGACATGTATCCAATAGTTCAGACATATTAGGAAGCTTGCACCAATGATATATATTAAGATTTGTATATTTTGTTCATTTTTGACAAAACAGTCCACATAGATCTTCAACACATGTATAATGTCACCATATGTATGTACTGTTATGCTTCTTACAAGTTTTTATATGATGATAATAAATTATTTAGCATCACTCACAGAGTATAAAAATTGCAATTGCATATGAAATTGTATTAATTTTCATGTCAATCCTGTTTCATATCTTGTACAAGATTTACCATGTATTCGTGAAAAGAAAAAAATTGCTCTTTGTCCATTGTCTTGTGGATGTGCTCGGACCGTACCAAATATTCAACGCAATTTTTTCCAGTCATCTGCTTCAAGTGCCAAAGGGCTTAGAGTCATAAACTTCTCGCTCTTCTGCATCCATATAATGTATATGGATTATTTGCAGCTTCTGCTTTATACATTTTGCAGTGATCATCATTATTCATTCCTTTCCTAAATAAATTTAGCATCTGTTGTTCAATTCTCATGGAAGGTTTTCCGAGTAAATAATTTCATCTGTTGGGGATCTTCATGTCCATAAGCTTTTCCATTCACTCTTTTTCTGCATAATGCATTTAACATGACACACCCTTTTCTCTGTATTCACATTGCAAGGTGATACACATTTTGACTGTATAATAGCCATATTTAATAAATTTCCAAACTCTCTCATTTTTTTACAAAAATATTGATGGTCTAATTACCCCATTCTTCAAGAGATAAAAGAGAACGACTTCAAACTAGCAAAGAAAAATATAAGAAAAGATATTGGAGCACTCTTGTTTTAGTATTCAAGAAAGTGGGCAAGGAGCAAGACTTCAAAACCAACTTGAGAAATATGTTGGTTTGGTAACATTTACAATAAATGGAAATAAAGCTAATTATTTATAACTATTCGCTATTGTCAATTGAGACACAAACATAATGAAGAGAGTAACATGATCTTCAACACAGGGTGTGCAAAAAGGGCAGATAGGCTTGAATTTGTATGCTTATTGGTGTTATCCATGGACAGACTCTGCTGCAGATATTGAAGCCACACAAAGAACGCTTGACTTCAACGTTGGCTGGTAAGTGCATGTCTTGATACTGGTTGAGTTAGTATGCACTCTAGCAAATGGCAACCAAAAACTTGATGTTGATCCAGTTTATGGTTTCACATCATCATGTAGTACTACTATATGCAATAATCAAGCTCATCAACTTCAGGATCCTAAACCCACTGGTTTTTGGAGACTACCCTGAGGTCATGAAGAAGATTGTTGGTTCAAGGCTGCCATCCTTCACCAAATATCAGTCTAAACAGTTAAAGGATTCATTTGACTACATTGGCCTAAATTACTATACGTCAGTCTATGTGAAAGACAACTTCAATGCTTCCATGACGGGTCCTCGTGACTTCAACACAGATGTATCTGTCCTTTTAGCAAGTTAGTCATCTTGTTAGTTGGTTGAAAGCAGCTTTTATTCTCTCTATCTGTCCTTCTAGCAAGTTAGTCATCTTGTTAATTGCTCACACTACAATGCAGGATCAAGGAATGAAACACCTGGTGGCCAGGTAAAGAGCTGTCTCTTATATGTTTCATCTATAGATTGATTGGCTAACTTCTGTTGTATCTTGACCAGTTCGATCCTACCATACCAGCACTTACCGATCCTACAGGACTGCAACACCTGTTGGAGTATTTCAAGGATGCCTACGGAAACCCTCCTATCTTTGTTGAAGAAAATGGTCAGTCCAGCTAGTCTGAGATAATCTATTTGATTAAGAGGACATAGTGCATCCACTTCAATCTGTAACTTACAAAGGCAAAATTTTGTGTATCAGGCAATGGAGTTGCAAGAAAAGAAAGCGAATTCAACGACACTTCCAAGGTTGATTTCTTGAGTGGTCACATCAGTAGCATACTCGATGCTATCAGGTATATAATGATCATGTTTTGATCGTATGAATGCAACACACGACCAAGTACTACAGTAACGAAAATTTTCAGATTTACGATCCAACTCTGACCTCGGAAGAGTCTATGGTGTTGTAGGAATGGAGCAAACGTGAAAGGATACTTTGTTTGGTCGTTCATGGATGTATTTGAGTTTATAACCGGGTATCAATCACGGTATGGCCTATACTTTGTGAATTTTGATGATGAGAATCGCGAAAGGAAACCGAAGCTCTCTGCGCAATGGTACTCCAGCTTTCTCAAACAGAAGAAGAAGGTTGAGATGAGAATTAACATGACCGATTTCGATGATAACTTTCGTGCTCATTGGTGATTTCTCTGTAGTACATCTAATATCTTGAATAAATTCAGTCAAATGAGTATATTCCCTTTGTTTTTCTTTTTAAGCAATTATGTCTTGAATAGACTCAGTCGGATTAATATTAAAATTTTCTCAGTTGTTATTTGTTCCTTTTTCTTCTAAATAGTAATCAGGAGACTCCAATATTTTGCACATCCAATAGTTTGTGCAAGATAAATTCCAAATGACAATCTGAACATTGAGAAGATAAGCACATGTGAGTTTTAAATTAAACTCATATATATATATATATATATATATATATATATATATATATATATATATATATATATATATATATATATATATATATATATATAT